CTACACACCCGTTTATATAAAGTATGTAATAGTTGGTGTGTGTGTGTGCACGTATAACGATATAATGCGAGTACACGTGTAAAATAATACGTCCCCTGGACCGTGCGTTATAAAAATATAAATAAATAAAACACGACATCAAATAAATGGAAAAACCTCTCGTAAGCTTGCCAGAAGTTTTACGGAGGCGGCTTCTGTGTTTTACGAGCGACGATTATATAATATTATACCGTGTGACAACGTCGGGTGGATTGTGCTCGAAGAATCCCCCGAAGACGGTCGTTAAGCACAATCTCGTAGCCAAGTTCATACTGGCCACTCGACCTTATCGAGCTTGAGGTCTGCGTGACCGAAAAGCATTACATTACTATGGTGATTTATGGAGTATAATATTATGTGCAACGATAATCGCGCTGAAGGCGACACGAATGGATGGTACGCCACCGCTGTAGTACATTTACCGTAAAAACAAAAACGCAATTTCGCATGAATGTTATGATGAAAGTAAAATTAAAAAAAATATACAAATTTATATTTATACGCGTTGTCATCAACGGTAATACACTTACAAAATGCGTGTACTTACAGACTTCCAACCATGTGGAGTAAGGTATTCCTGGTGAAGTAGATGAATATGAAAATTATTATAATCTACGAATTGTCACTATATAATTATATGACTGCCAGTTGTCATAATAATATTATAATAGAACGGTCCGTGACACTGTTGAAACGATTGAAATTGATTTAAAACGGCAACGTCATAATAATTTTTAACAGATAAAATTATCGTTGTCAATTGAAAAAATATATTTTCATTATAGATCGACCGATGTCTGGTACTTGTATACTTGTCATGATTGTGGTGGAACGATGAAAATATTCATTTGCAGAATAGATCCTCATCATCTACGACGGTGAGTGATACAAACACATCAAACCGGGTTAAGATATATATATATATATATATATATACGCAGTAGACGGACTTCAGTGACTAATGTGGGGGACTTACGCGTATATCAGTTTGAGTGAGTTGATTCCCGAGACTTACCCACTTTATACTCGCATGTATTTAATTTATTTCCGACTTTCCGAGTTAATTTTGAGTACATATGAATTGATTTCTGTTAAATATTATCCCTATTTATTCGTATTTTATTTTTTCTATTAGCGCTATTCAGAAGATAACTACAGTAGGTAAGCTGACAATTTTTCAATTTTTTTTTTTTTTTTTGTTATTAAATTTAATCAATCGTCATACTTTGTTTAATTTATTACATGCTGTCGTGGATATTGAAGTCGGTTAAGCTTTTTTGATTTAATTATTAAATGTTGTCAATCATCGTCATAATAATTGGCTTTTTTTCATACACGAGTATAGTAAGGGAATATTGAAGAGAAGGTGATCCATTTGTAACACATCGATTTCAAAAATTGGCATCTGCAGCTTATGGGGCCGGTTTGGTCACATACTTGTGCACACATTCTCTCGTTAATACTTTTTTCCCCTCATATATTATACTTATATACCACTGATATACAACGAAAAGAGAATAAACTCGTATATATCTCTAAATTATTCCGCAGAATCAATTCACCGGTCTCGATAAAGTCAAACAGGTAGTACTTGAGAATAGACTCGTACGCGGCTGCGGATTTAGTAGTTTAAAAGAGATCGTTTGTCACACAACCCACGACGACAATGGGCGCGACATCCGACTTCTTGAACCGCATTGACATTTTCGCACAAACGCGCGCGCACGGTATACACATAAATTATATATACTACGGGAGAAAGCCAACGACTCCCGCCTCCACGTCCACGTCCGCCTCCACCACCGCCGCCACCATCGTCGCGCACGGAGTGCACACCACGTTACGCCACACTCACTATAATATACTATCCATCATCTATCCACGTACTCGTATGCGTACCTACATATGCGTATAGCCTATAAAGTGCATACCACGTCGTGCACTGCAGCAAGTATGTACACGACCACCGACGTCCGTCATCGAGACTCGCGGCAGACGACGTCACTCCGCCGTCTCCGTCGCTCGTAATTTATGTGACCGAAAAGGATGAGGATAGCACACGATCGTGTGACCGCAATGGCAAACGCGCAGCAGATCCGGTGACGGGCACGTCTAGTTCCGACCGTCCGTGCGTATTAAAAACACCATACCTATGTGTATAATATAACACATTGTACTTGCCTATAACGTGCACGCACACGCGTGTTGTTACTATCATAACACCGGTCGGTCCCGAAATGGGCCTGGGCTGCAAGCTTCGGGTATATTATTATAACTACGTCGCGTTCGCAGTGTCTTACTACTACAGCGCACGTCTTCAGCGATCGATATTTATAGCTGTGTTATTATCATAATGTACGCGTGCGATTTCCATACGTTGCACGCGGAGTCCGCGTCCGTCTCTCGGCCGGTGACGCAGCGTGCCGTATATAATATTATTATATGGGTACAATGTATTATAAATTTATGTATATAATGTGTACAGGCGAACGGACGTCTGCTCGTAAATTGGATTCGAGTTTAACGTACGGCATCATAACAATGCGTATAGGTCTAAACGACAAACGGCGACGACGACGACGACGACGACACACTCTGTATGATGTAATATAATGCTATTGATATATTTATTTTAATACAACTTAAGGTTAAAAGGACGTCGTAGAACCGCATGTGTGTTGTCTCTGCCGTTTTTATCGTGAAACAATATTTAGGTATGGCCAATCAACGTACAGGATTCATACTACAGCTATGTATTATAATATTCATAATTAATATTAGAACACATTATTTTTTTTTTTTTTTTTTTTTTTTTTTTATCGAATCTGTAGCGAGGAGAATATAAAGTACTGTACTCGAGAGAAGTGGTTTTTTTTTGTATTTTTTATTTTAAAACGAGTGTTTCGATTATTAATAATTTGTGTATTTCGTTAAAAAAAAAACGTCTTTAAACTACGCGTCATGTAAGATACAACACAACATATTATGCGGGTGTACGACGCAGAGCTCTAACCACTACTATTGCATATATTGTTTTATTTCTGTGGTCGTGTATACCTGTGATGTTCGTATTGAAGTGTGAGGAGGTGCAGGTCATCGCCGGGGTTTTTATTACATTTATTTTTGTTTCACACGGGTCTTCCGTCGGTGTTTTATTGTTTTGACATTTTGACTGCTGTTACTTGTTATGGGTACGTTTCGTTATCGAATGATCGCGCTATCATCGTAATGATTTCATGACGGTAGACAAACGAACTTTAAAAATTGTTTAACCTTTAAGACCGGGAGTGACAAGCAACACGTTGCAGTCTACAGTTTGAACGATTTTTATTTTTAACGACATACTAAAATATTTTTTACTAAAAAAACAGTTCACTCGGGCTAATAATTACATAAAATCCCAGTAGACATGACTATTATAGTAATTAGTTTACAATATTCTCGACGTCTAATTATTTGGCCGTTAGTCTTTGGTATAGATAACTCTTAAAAAAACAATAACAATTGTATTTTCTTAACAGATTTAGTGGACTTACAAACTTAATATATAATATAATATATTTGATGGAATTATATCGAATTGTAATTATTTGGATAATAATGTATCAATTTTAAAGGAATTTATATTTATAAATACCTATCTAAATTTTAATAACAATATTGAAATTTCGCAACAGTGTATATAATCGCATAAAAAAACAAAAATATTGACTCGATATTTTCATAAAATCTTGAATTTGTAGTTAATTCCCTTTTCGACGCCTTACATCTCTCAATTTTGAAATTTTTAACCATAATATGCAAGCTTATGTCAGAATCAAATCCTCTCCAAGTAGCTGATTATTACAACAGCTTTTTGCCTCACTGCGCTCGTTTTAAACATATAACAATAGGTCAACGTGTTTGGCACTAAATCAACTGTCTTTCATGCATCACCAGAGTTACAAAAGGTAGTCCTCCACAAACTATATGTCAAATGAACTTATTAGGCGTATAATGTCCAATGTCAATGTAGACCCCTCCTTCACTTTTTAAATTATTAAATATTTTCGAAACGTCTTTTTCATAAATCTTAGTGAGGTCGTATTATAAAATAAATATTTTTTCTTGTTATTGTATGTAAATGTTTAATCAACTATTTTTGTTAAAGAGCTTAGTCCGTAAAATCTAAAAAAAAAAAAATAAAATAAAAAATACCATTTGTACACTATTTATTATAAGACCAGTTAGTAATGACGTTAGTAATGATCACAAAATAATACCGTTGAATGACATTGATTGAGCACTAAATAACAGTGTTATGGTGAAAATTATTAGTACTCGAATTTATTGTTCAGCTAACTCCTCGTAACCTCGAGATAATTCGCCAAACGCAGTAGTTTATCTGAATGTAAATTGTAAACCCCTAACACCACGATTAAAACTCAGACCGGTTTATTTTTAGTCCTGTAATAGCAATAATAATAATAATAATAATCGGCTCTCGATCGACCAAATGAAAGCGTGGTTGAACACTAAGAACACGAGTACCTGTAATATTGTAGTACACACCATGGTTTATATATACAGTGATAGTATTGTCAAACATTATTATTATTATTATTATTAATGTTCGATATTGTTATTGTAATGACACGAGGTGTCAAGCAGACGACAGGAACGAACAAAACAAGTAACAGAAGTATTATATATATATTATTTTATTATATTCAACAATATATAATACGAAATCGAGTGATGTATATAATATATACAGTTACATAGTTTAATATTTTTACAATAAATTCATAATACATAATTTATGTTATTACTACATATTTTATATTATTATATTATATACGGATCGAATATATATTTTTTTAAATAATTCTGACATTAATAATAATAATATGAAATAATAAAACCGAATAACAAAAAAAAAAAAAAAATAATAATAATAATAATAATAAATAAAAACAAGGTAACGTAGTCAATAACAAAATAAAAAAATATATTTATATAGGTTCCTATATGCAATAACTTATTATAAAACCAATAAAGACAATAAGCGGGCGGGTCAATTATCAAATTTCAGTAAATCATTTAGCCGTTCAAACGAAATAAAAATTAACGCGTACCTATAGAACGTAATGAAAAGAAGCAGCGACTGCGGTTTAATAATGGCTGGTGTAATGGTATATAGTTATGTACTCAGTTTGTATTGTTGTGACGACGATATCAATCATGCACTTTAGATAAACGTAAATAAAAATATTGAAACAAATTTCGCTAGTCGACTAACAAACGCTCATCGCGACTAACAGAGCGGTACGACGATCGCAGTAATAATAATAATAATAATAATAATAATACATTTAACAAATCGTTAAAACCGTCCGCGGCGGCAGAATTATGTGTGAGGCGACGTTCCCAGTCGCGGGGCGGCGGCGGCGGCGGCGGCAGCGGCGTACGGCGAGTAAGCGACCGCGGGGAAGTACGGCGGCAGCAGGCCCGGATGTGGCGGCATGGCCAGTGGCGAGGACGGGTAACCGGACGGGAAACCGTACGGCGAGTGATGTTTGCCGGTCGCGTACGGGTGATACCTGCTGACCGCGGCGGCGGCGGACGGGCTGAGCGGCGGCGTCGGGTACGAGCGCTGCAACAGCGGCAGCGCGGCGGCCGGGTCAGAGGTGTGCGTGCGCAGGTGTTGGAGCAGCTCGTCGGACGTGCCGAACCGCTTGCCGCAGTACGACGGCAGGTCGGCGCCCATCCACGAACACACGTACGGCAATTGGCTGGCGGCCGCGGCCAGCGCGGCCAGCTGGGCGTGCGCGTACGCCGCGGCCATCGTGTGGTGGTGGTGCTGCTGTTGGTGTTGGTGGTGAGCGGCGGTCTGCTGGTGATGGTGGTGAGCGGCCGCAGCGGCGGCGGCCGCGGCTGACACCGTCTTCGGGCTCGCGTCGCATTGCGTGCAACCGGCCGGACACGTGGTCGCCGGCTGCGGCGGTTGTTTGCCGGCGGCCAAGTGAGCGGCCAGCTGGCAACCCGCGCAGTACGGATCGCGGCACGGCAGTGGCGGCGCCCCGGCACCGGGTCTGAAATAGGGGCTCATGAGGGGCGAGCCGCCCAACGCGGCCATGTGGTGATGGTGATGAGGGTGCGCCGACAACTGCGGGTGGTGGTGCGCCGACGGATAGCCGGCGGCCGCCATCAGAGCGGCCACCGAGGTGGTCGACGGCGACGACGACGAGTGTTTGCTGTGCGATTGTTCGCCGTGTTTTCTACCCGCGGCGGCCGCGTCTTCTGCCGATGACTTGCGACTCGAAGCGCTCTCCTTGCTGCTGCACCGGTCACCTCCGCCACTGATGGCCACAGGCGTCGCTCTCCTTATGGTCGCGTCCAGGCTGATCGACGTGGCGTTGGTAGTGGCTGCGGCGGCGGCGGCGGCTGCAGCCGCGGCCACTTCGGCGGCCGGTCGCAGAACGCACGATTCGTACGGTTTGAAACTCGACCGGGCCGTGGCGGTGACCGGGGTGATCGGAGCCGGCTGCAGGTGATTGTGGACGGCAGACGTCCGACCGGTCGGCGAACCGCTGTTCGAACACGACGACGACGACGACGACAGCGACAGCGACGGCGAACGCTTGTCTCGGCCTCCGCCACCTCCGCCGCCACCTCCGTGGTCGGAAGACGACGACGAAGACGAAGAGAGTGATGACGACGTCTTCTTGTGGTGATTGCCGCCGACCTTCTCCGAGTTTGTCTTGCCGTTTTGCGGCGCCGGTGCGTCAGATCCGATTTGACTGCAAGTCTGTGCCAACAGCGCCAGTGGACTGTTCTTGGCGTCCAACTGTAAACAGAAAATAACGATACGTTATTGAAAATCCTAATGGAAAGATTTGTTGCCACTGAGTCACTGAGTACACTACAACAGTATACACAACAACAACAGGAAATTCATCTGGGACTAAAAATGTTACCTAACCTAACCGATATTACATGTTAACTGATGACGCGTACTTAACGATTAAATCTGTATAATGATATAATATATACTCGTAATAACTACAGTATATGTACCACATATTATTATATTATGTTTTAAAAATAATTCTAATTATATCTTGGTTTATAATTTAAGAATAAATTGTTTTTTACATTTTGTGTTCAATTTGAAAATCCATATAAATGTATACGATGTTTTTAGTTTTTTTTTTATTTATTTCTCAAAAATGAAAAATGTACACGTTATTGTAAAAAACCTAATAAAATGTATTTACTTGACTAACGGAGCGTTATTATTCTAACAGAAGAGGTAGTCTCAATGGATATCCTTTTAAACTATTTTTATTTGGTTTTTTTTATTATTATTTAGTAACGATCTATAAATACTATCATATCGTATAATTTATTATTTGCTCTAGTATTACAATATTCTCTCATCATGTCTATTGAACATACAATATGCGTATCAATGAATTCACTAAATACAATATTATACATATGTACATTATATTGTAGGCGTATTCTAGTTTTCAATAACATCGTTTTCCCAGCGGTGTAATAATATTGCCGGGAAATTTCAATAATAAACCACATAATATTATCATGCCCCAGACGCGTTCTACAGAATAATATGTAATCCCTATACATGTACGTTTCTGTTTTGTATAGTTTATTCGCATAAAAATCTGCCAACCTCCGATGCACGACAGTAATCATCGAAGGTATACTGCACACGTATTATTGGAAAGTGATTTTTTTTTTTATTCTCTACTCTCCTCTTGGTCATGGTTTTATTTTACGATTCTATAATATGTGATTTTTCAGTTTTTTCTCGTATTCGACCTCCATACCGTTATGGGTTAGCGTCACGTGCCCACCGTTTACACGATAATGTATACTATACCGATATTATATTATCGCCCGTTATGCCACATGTAGTAAAGACCTTTATCGTTTATGCGACAAAGATAATTCGCCGGCGTTGAAGACGTTGAAATCGTGTCAACAGAACTTGAGATAAAAAATAATTTACACTCCACTATAATATATTAAAACGGAATTTCCAAAAGTATAATCTATTAAATGTTTAAGTATATAAGAAGGATTAAAAACCGGGAAGCCTAAATCCCAAAGTCATTTCAAGAACAATTTTTGCATTTTGGAAATATTTAGGTAATCGAATCTCTGATTATTGTAGTTATTATGATTCATATTGTTATTACTTATTATTAATTTACTATCATAAAATATTTTATGAATAAAAATTAAATATTTGCTTTTAACTGATATATTTTCAATCAATATTTGATATTAAACGCACGATATAATAATATAATATTATCTTATAAAATTCCATAACGATTAGACTTCGTCTGGAATTTTAATATAAATATTGCAATCGCACATTTCAAGCAAGCGAACATTTTGTGGAACAATTCACGAAATAAAAAGTATTAAATATTTGTCAATTTGCAGCAATCTGATACATTTTCATCGGTTTTTCTCACACACAATCAACAAAACAGAAAATGATAAGTAAAAGCAGAAGACTGAATTTATTAAAATAATAATATTTACACATACTTGAATTCGATGGATGAATCGACTTAGCAATAAATAAAAAATAATAATTTAATGCATTTTAATATGACGGTATAATATTATACCCATAAACATATGGCGTGTAGATTTTTAGTATTAGTTAATTTTATTAAAAAAAAATTAATATCAATTTAGAGTATAAGTCATAAGATAACTCTTGATTTTTGTTAACTGTGCAAATAGCACAACTGTATTTTATGGTTTGTGCTTTAGCAACTGGCTAGGAGAAGCCGATTATGGATAAGTATAAATAGATACATTTAAAAAAAAAAAAGGATTTGACCATTGATGTTCATTAAGCCGAAACGCGTAGTTTTTATTAACTGTTAGTGTAAATTAAACTCCGACCGAGCAAGATTCATTAATAATTATGTGTATGTTTTGATTTAAGTTTATCGTGGTATTATGCGTACAATTGCGTACAATTGCATATAATATATATTTTATGTGTGTTTTTGTGAACGACACGCATAATACTCATATGAAATCATCGGAATAAGTAAATATTATATTAATAATATTATGTTAATACATTATATACCTATAGTTTTAATACACTAATCCGTCGATAAGTTTTCGTTGCTTAGACGGTTGTATTGTTTTGTCACGAATACGTGATATTATGTGAGTGTGTTAGGTGTATGTAACATAAGTGCATTCAAATTGTTTAAAAAAACACAAAATATTTTATGATGCGAAATCAGAAAACGGACTATAATAGTTAATAAAATATCATCGAGATACGACCAAAAGATTTTGAAATTATCGAGGAAATTGTAGCGTTATCGGTAAATTCACTCGTTCCAACAGAATTTCGTTCATTCGATGTCTATTTTTCTTTCCGCCGCCGTAGTGCCACTGTAGCCGTCATATCTATATGGGTATATTAACAATAATGCATTAGGAATAGGTATGACGACGGCGATTACGGCTGGCTGTTGTATCGTTTTACCTTGGTAATAAATCATCACAACCAGACGTCTGACACGGTGGAACCCGATTTGTGCAATATACTTAAATATGAGACAAGGATGGCTGCGGCGTTTTTCCGTGGAGAATACGTGAACTAGCACATATAGATTGTTTTACAGAGGGGGTTATGTTAATAACATTTTTTCTAAAATTATACACCACTAATATTAAACAGAAGAGGGATTTTTAGTAAAAATATTTTTTCACATTTCGGTTATCTTTTCAATATTCTTCTCCTGTAGGTGCCACTGACTAGTTGTGGGTGAGAGTGGGTAAAAAAAAAATCATAACGATATCGTGATATCACGGATCGTCATATTGGGCAATGAATCCTTCGAATATCTTATCTTCGCATGTTGTTGAGGTCTATTTCCGAAGATTTTTCTATTCATTTCGTTTAGCGTGCACATTATGTTAAATAGCTTCTGCGCAAATATTCTCACATCATTAGTCAAATGGTTAAACGATTGTCAGAATTCAATTAGAAGCGAATAATGTGGAATTAATAACATTACAACGATAATAATCAATATTAAAACTCGGGGTTCGAATAGTGACGGTCTTACGAGTAGTTACGCATTATTATTTATTATTGTCGACTGTCGAATAGTATATGTAAAAAATATCGAAACGTGCGACGATAAATATGTCGGTGACGTGCGTGAATTCTACTTGTCCACCCACAGATATTTTCTTCTTGCGGGCGTCACGCGTCTAATGTTTTGAACCTTTTTCTCGAGGCCAATTGACCCCATGGTCAACCAATAATATCTGGACGACAGCTATGAATGTCACTTCAACAAACAGCATTATATATTGATATATTATTATACTCTTCGGTTTACTGCAGCACCTATAGGCTATTAAATTAGTAGAAAAACAACCAATAACTTTAAGTTAAAAAAAAAAAAAAAAATAGTATCATGTACAACAAAATAACAAATATTTATCTAATTTATCCTTATCGCTATTATAATTTACTAGTTGTTGTGACAAAGTTGTGTATTTTAATTCACACTAGTTGTTAAAAAAAATAAATAGCATATTATAATTTCATATAATCTTATTTAATTGTTAAATTTTATTTTACTTTAGATATGTACTTTTATCCTACTATCATAGTTTATCGATGTGTGAATACTAAATTTTGGATGTTTATGAGCAAACCTATTTCTATTTTTTAAATAACAATTATTACTAGATTTAAGAAAGTATTCAAATGTTTAGTAATTAGTTTTATTTTTATATACATTCGGTATTTTTCTGCAGTTTACATTTAATATTTAGACTCACGGGCATTTACGGAGTTTATTTTTGCTTGTGTATAATATATGTACGTGTGTGCACACCTAACATTTATTATAATATGCAAACTAACTTACTAACAGTGTTGTGTCTTGAGATCTTGGGCATAATAAACACGCCTGTGTCGAGCGATGTGCAATAAATTAGCGCACGTCCGGTTATTATAATACATATTATATTATGATATCGACAAATTATAATGTTATATGCATCCCGTTCCGAGCAATGCGAGTCCGTCTCGAACGACCGATCATCACGGTGTTACGGCTCGCCGGACATATTATATTATAATGATGAAACAGATATATACACATCGTAAATAATATTTTATCGGCATTATAATATATTATTATGTACTCGGGCGAATGCTTTTAGAATAAACTATTACTCGTCGTCATGTTTATAGTGTACGTATATACATTATAATAATTTGTACCTCCGTACTCCTGGCACGGGATCGTAACGAATAAAAGTCGAGCTATTATATTTTGTATATTATAATTAAGTGTGTAAAACGTAAGATAATAACGCGTCGAAAACTAGTTAACCGGGCTGTGCAATAAAAGTAATAATATTACAGGTATCGCTGCTATAAATCCTGTGCCACCGTGTCAAGATGAATTTAAAGGCTAGCTCCCAATTAAAGTTACAGCGTGTCAGTATAAGCGACTACATCAATTGGAATATACAGTGAAATCATTGTATAGAGTACTGGCATTAGACATGCATCATCGTCCATAAACATTAGGTACGTTTATATGGTAATAACTTGTAACTAATAATAATAAAATGCAGTTTTAAGTCAGAGGTAAAAAATAAAAATAAAAATATTAACCATCAACGTTCGGGCGCTGTATTCTTAATATTCGTAATATTTTATTATACTACAGCATAGATAAGTATGAAGTATGAACCTCCGGCCAACGCCAATTTAGACCTTTCAGACACGCAATTCGTTAATACTGAATTCACACCTAGTTTAATTTTTTTTTTGAACCATTCAGTTTTATAGAAAAAGTTTTATGATGACAAATACTGATACACGTCTACAACAATAAAATAGTGCCAATTAAAATTCTGTCGAAGAAGAAAATATTTATTTTTTAATTTTCGTCTTGGTCTTTACAACAGTAGTTGTAATATTAAATCATTTTAATATAATATCATTAATTCTCATTTTTTACAATTAAACCTAGAACTAACCAGAAAAAAAGAATACACAACTATATAACGACTGACATATAGGAGCATGTATATCTCATTTTTTGTACCGATACATATTATATCACAACGTACTTCTATGTCATTTATGAAGTCTTATTCACGCTTCAGTCGCGGTAAACCCGTCGACTAACTGGATAAATAGGCCGTCAGAATTATTTTATTTCATATATAGATATATTATCGTGTAATATAATACACACACGCGTCTATTTGGTCTCGACAACTAATATATATATATATATTTATATATATAGGTTGATAAGTGTACACACCTCTCGTTTCAAATCGTTTTTCCCCTCGACCTTCCTCCTATCAATTTTCCCGTCGATCATCAGACTTTACCGTCGCCCGTCGACACGTCAAAGTCCTTTAATAAGCCTAGTGAGCGCAGGCGCGCGCGTGTAGATATCAAAAACGACGACAGCGACAAGCACTTTTCTGCGACGAGCGGGTAGAAAACCATTAACGGATTGTTGACAGGGGTGGTAAAAAAAATACACTTCCCCTGTGCGTGTCATTATCGAACACATACGAGCGCGCCCGGGCCGTGGCATAATCGATTTGCCGCCGGCGCTCAAATACAATTTCTCGCGGCGGCGATAATATCTATTATTATATTAGGCGAAGACGTGAGTTGTTCGACAACGTAGATAGGTGTATAATATTATTATAAGGACGTATTCTACAATATTTATTGTATGTTAAAATATAATATGATGCTTATAATAATATGGCAAAGTCATGGATTGGTTCTTAATTTTTTTTTTTATTATTTTGCTTTCGCACTCCTGATGTACGCGCTTTGTTTTATGTATTATTATTGTGTGACACGTCGAATCAATATTGCACGCGAGTCTTCGAGAATAAATCGAGTGTAGCGTTAGATATAGCTTCGACGGCGGTATTTTTCCCCCCGTCCTACCACGAACAACCAACTCGGCGCGTATTGTTATTATTATCGTCGTTGTGTCCGCGGGGGGTTAACGTCCTCCTTTTCTTTTTATTTTCTTTTCATGGCTTTCCGATCAAGTGATTTGGATGCTCGAACGATTTACATAGTTTATGGATAAAGATACTCAGAAATTCGTTGCCTTTAAAGTCGTTTAAATGAAAACATTATCTTTACCGTTGTATGATGCGCATCTGCAATATTCTCAAAAATATAAAGTCGTCAATACTTGCTTTCGAAACGACGAAGATTAGGTTTTAATTTGACGAATTATAATAAAACAGATTATAGTATTAGTATTACCACCAACGCGAATTCCAACAGAAAATTACGCTTCAGATTTATCTCGAGATTTATTCACCCGTGCACCTACGCAAAATGTTTTGATTGGTTGTAATAGTATTTTACAATTTATTAGTACCTATAATATTATATTTTATTTACGGTATTTACTTTAATAAAATTATATGCATTTTTTTTTTTTTGCATTATACGATAGATCAGAATCGTTATAGATTATAATAGGACCCACTGTATACTGATTTTCAACGAGCAACTAAAAATGCATAAATTCGTTAAGTTTATCTCCAATATCAATAAAATAGTTTAAGTTCCTTGGCATCGAAATTTTTGTTCAATTTTTAACAACATGTACGATTTAATTGTTTTTATTTTTGTATTTCTATGGTTAACGTGTTTTAAAAATAAAATTAAGCTAATACCTAGATATAGTTAAACAAAATTTACTTTGATATTTGATCACATTTTTAAGTTTTAAATATTTATTATTTAAATAATATCTCTAGTTTGACTTGGCTGGTCAGAACTAAGATTATTTTAATTTTAATGCAACGAAGAATCGTCATTGAAAAAAATCTAATAATTTTTGGTGGGCATAAAAATAATCGCTAAACGACAACATTACTATACATGATTGAATGATGTTACACTTACCGACGGTAAAGGAGTTAAATAATCCGGTCTCAGGTATTGGTTTTCGTTACTCATGATCATGGTTCGCACTGCACATGCACACTCGAGTGTCGAATTCGGCGAGTTACACTGGGTAGAAAAACCCGTACGAAATAATAATAATACAAATACGTTTTTCGTTAACAATGTTTGCAAAAATATAAAAACCAAAAATATATAAATTGAAAGAATTTATTTCAACTGAGTAGCGTGGAATCGCACAGACACACACTGGAGCATAAAATAATAATAATTATATAGTACGGTCGCGACGAGACGACAGAGGCGTACGGTAAACCGCTGCGTAGACGGACGTCGAACGTTAACGGTCTCCGGTGTTGCACTGCCGCTGAGGTTGTTGTGGCACGAGTGTGGCGGCGGAGTGACGACGCGCTAACGTCGTCCGCAAAGCGATCACCGGACGGTGGCTCCGTCTAGCGTCGGCGATGGCGCGCGCGCAACAAATCACTTTGCGGCGGACGAGTGCAGTTCGCGCGAACGGTCGCACGCGATTTTCAATACGACCGCTGAGCTTTGCAACCGCCACATAGACCGCGGTGGAGTCATAATCTGATGGGGGTACATTAGTGTGAGGGTGGTGGGTGTTGCGGTATAGTAACATAATGGACGGTGTTGCGAGCGAGAGGCGAGAAAATCGCGAAAAGGGTGTAATGCATACCTGCTAAATCTCGTGTTAAATATTGTTTCACCATGTCCGTAAGACCGTAAAAATAACTGAGAGCGTCCGGGTTCGTTAAAATGCCAGTTTATTAATACGCAATAATATGTCACTTTAGGCCGGTTCGGAGGGCATTATGACCTAACAGCTTGGACGAATATTTAATAATGAAAAAGACGTTTTTATACGAAGAAACTATTCAGCGGTAGGACGCCAAAATGTACTAGTTTACTCACAATTATGTGTATATTTAATGTAGAAATATTTTCTGAAGTAACAATAAAATAATAGTACGGTACACAATATGAGAGACACTGAACGTCGATTACAAACGATGCTGAATCGTGGCTAAAAACCACAGTCAGAGAACTAGTCGAAGAACGAATTAATGACATTGATTCCTCATAGACTCATAGAAACTAGACAATAACTGCTATAGTTAACGCCACGGCATATTTCGTAACAAGTTAATTTTTGTTTTATACAGTCACTTAAGCAAGGTAAATCGTTTTAAATATATTTCAGAAACACGTAGGAATTGACGTATTGCGACGCACAATATTGCTTGAAAATAAATGATAAATACTAATAATTATTATTATCAAATTATACACGATATAACACCCAAATGGAAGTAAAAGTCAACAACATTTTTATATCGAAGATTAAAATCAAATTCCAAGTCCGAATAATTTAATGTATAATTACTTATGGATTTTATTACCTAGATTTCACTTTTTTTCAACTAATAAAAATTATTGTCGAAAATGTTACGACGATGTTTTGCAATGAATTATTTTTTACAATAACTTATGCAATTGTTTAAATTAGTAATAAATAATTATAATTTATTAAGTGACAAACGAAATAACACGATGTGGCAAAAACCGGTGTCGGGGCGGTACAAGTACTTCAATAAATGCAAAATAATATTGTATAGAGAAAAACTAATGGGCACTGGGGGTCCTAGAATGGACAAGTTGACGAAGTCGATTTTTGAAATTAAGTGTTTAAGTTAGCATAATAATTCTTTATCACTATATGATTTTATACAATAATTGTATAATTTTTCTCATAGTATTTTTCTCAACTATGTTTTTTTACATGTTTGAAAAATGTCCTGTTTACACTATCACATTTTTTTAAATACTCAATACAATGAATATATATTTTAGTCGAAGAATTTAAAACATGATTCAGTTATTGTTTCATCATCATTTTTATTATGCTCATGGTGTTCATTATTGTTTTTATTATTAAAATTTAATGTAATGAAAAAATCATATTGATCTAGTCGTTTTTATAATATTGGAGTATGGACTATATTATTATGTATATTACAAGATATTTTTTTATTTTTACAACTATATTTGTTTTATTCAAATTATGCGAAGATGTCAACACAATATTGTCTGTTGACAAAATTGTATGAATATATTATATGTACATATGTAAAGCTGGTATAGGGTTTTACAATTGTGTATAAATAATAACTATCAAAACCAAAAAAAAAAGAGCTGTGAGCAATCAACAGTCTAGAAAGTCTAGATATATTCTAATTTTTATCCATCAACTCATGTTTACAGTAATATCAATATTTTTTGGGATCCAATTTGTAACATAAAAACAGATAATCTCAAGATATAATAATAAAAAAAAAATAAATAATTCTATTTGATTAAAATTTTATATTCAAACTTTTTTTTTTTAATTTTTATAGATTATTTAACAATCTGTACACATATGGTACAATGAACTTAATCAAGAGTTTCACAGTAATAATAATAATTATTGGTATTAATATGAGCGTTTACATAATAGCATTATTATTATTTTGGTTGATGTGCGTGAATTGAAGAGGCTATCCAGCGACAATACTTTGGTGGGAGTTTTTTTTTTTTATATTTTACTTATTATGTATTAACATATAAGACCTGAGTATTATATTAACTAGTTTGTTCGTCAACTAGAAAGTCCCTGGGCCACTTTCGCAAAAGTCTCCTTGTAGTGTTACCCAGGAGGAAGTGTGAGGATAGTTCAGCAATAAGTGGATTAGAATGATTGTGTAGTCTTTATTGGAATTTAATATAATGTTTTTTTGCGACTTCTTTAACGTAGGAGATGTGCAAGTCTGTGTGCAGGGTGTCGTTGGAGATGTATAGGGGGGAGCGTTTGTGATAAATTTGAGTATTTTTGATTGGACTACTTGTATTTTATTTGTATTTGTTTTTTTGATAGCTCCCCATAGTTGTATTCTATATGTTCAAATAGGTTTGATTTGAAGTTTTTATAAGTTAATTTTTGATTTTAAGTTAAGGTTTGAAGTTTAACCCATAGTGCTTCGGAGAGTAGAGATTCTACGATTTAGGGATAGTTTGTTCATATGAATATGTTTGGCCCAGTTCCATTTTTTTATCAAAATATAATATATTCAAACTTAAATTGAAATTTACTCATTATAACCATTTTAAAATTTATTTTCGAAATATAATTTTATTGATGATTTTTAATTATAACATAAATTACGAAACTGTTTATCGAGTAAAATTAATTAATTTTTACGTTTAAAACTTTGTTTGAAAATAAAATATTTTAATTTAAATGTATTATTTATGAAATTTATAACTACTTATTTAATATAAATATATACTTTAACAACGTTTACAAAATTATGTTGTATTTAAGAGGTTCTTTTGTTATTCAACAAATATAAGCACATGAATTTAAAAAAATATAGATCATACCACGAACGGCCTACCGGGATACCAGGAAATTCAGTTAGATGACTGATGGCTATTGAAGATATTTGGTGCTAATGTAAAAAGATCAACTTAGCATTGTGTCTTGTGTAAATTCGTAAACGAATTGTTAAATTAAATAGTTTACCCATTCAACTAGAGTCAAATGTTGAGAGTCTTAAAAATACATATAACAGTTATTAATATTGTTATCTATTAAAAAATATTATTAATTGGTTTAAATTGTTATAACATTTTTAAAAAGCTCATCATCTCAGGCTCACTTGTTTTTCCTATATTTTCAAGTACTGGCCAAAAATACGGTTTGGATGAATAGAGTTGTTTTGTCTGAAATCGCCGCTCCTGAACTAAATACGCAATCGGATTTTACTCAAGTACGCACAGTTGACCTATTGCGATCGTCTCTAGAATTTCCGCCAATTCGAAAGGTACCTTTTCATAGCGTATTATTAAAACGCGTACAATTATATCATAATAAGAAGTCCCTCAATTGAAATAGAGTAGAGTGTATTTATTTCGTCAGAACGGAAGGAAAGCAATGATAATAATAATGGCAGTGCATCTAAACGATATAAATGCCTTCAAATGTTGTTTTTGGCACACATCTGTGATACATACATACACACTATCTGGGCTTGGGGCCCAACTGCTTCACCGTAAATTCGGAGTGTATAATATACTATTATGTACGACAGTCGACAACACAATGGTATAATAATATGCTATATTATGCGTGCACGTACGTCTCGACAGTCGACGACACAATGTACGAATGCGGCGATAATGCGGTTAAAATTGTTAGAAATCGTCCGAAACGGGTTCAGGCCGTTAAACACTTGCTGCGTACTGTGTAGGTTCAACCACGCACGGCGCTTCTTGTAATAAATCGAAACCGAGATTATTTTGTGGTCAGCCAGTGTTTTATACCATCCGGTCGGTGGATATACTTACGCGCGTTTGTCGCGACGTGTACAAAATTTATAATACGAATAATGTATGTTCGATCGCAAAAATAATATTACGCATTTAGTTATGAAATTGAAAATAAAAAATGCCGTGGAAAAAAAAACATAACAAAACCAAAAATATAAACTGGTAAACATTTATCGGCTTGTCATAGGCAGTCTATAAATTATATAGTAGGTAGTTATGGCATTAATGTATTGAATACATTTTTACAAAATTAATCTATCAGACAATTATATACATATTATAATATAAAACATTGGTACATATAATACATAGAAGTTTAGAACATAAGTGTAACTATAAACAAATAGTAAATACTTAGTAACAACAATTTATATTGATATTATTTGTTGCATAATATGATATTTATATATAATATACACATTATAAATTAACTTTAAAAAAGTAAATATTATGTTTTATAATATGATCATATTTATATTATGATATTATACACATAACAATTTCTTGATACTATATTTTTTAATTTTAAATCGTATTAATTTTAGACCTAAGGTTATGACCATTCCTTGATTGTTTGACTCTTGAATAATATCATACTTGTATGATTGAGGTTAACATTTTAATTTTGTCTTTTATTAAACACATTTTACATATGTATTTTTTATTTATGTATCACTGCGTATTTTCGTTTGAATAATTTTATTGTATAGCTTATATATTCTATATCATTTATAGATATAACGTGTCTAAAAAAATAGGTTAGGTAATAGTGTTTTTTTTCAAACGCATTCAAATATCAAATGTTAAAAATGAGTGAATATTATTAGTATTTTTAATTATAATATTATGTTAGTTGTTTTGTGGATTTTACAATAGTTTGTAATTTGTATAGCAAATTTGTAGACAGTTGTACATACTCGACTTACTTTGTTAGACGTTTAATAATTTATTTCCGTGTTGATTTTGTGGCGAACAAAATATTATTATTAGTTATTACTACGTGAGAGCAAGAGT